AGTGCTCTTTCAGTATGCTGTTTTCCTGTACATGATATTTAAAGGAGGTTGTGGCTTTCTCCTTCAAGAAAAGATAAAAAATCTAATTAGTTTAACAATACAAAACTTATAGATTTAATTTTTTAGAACTAATCGCTATTCTATCAAATGGAACTCAGAAAATGCACTAGACATAGTATACAGAGAACATCACTTAGCTAGTACTTTTCAAAACTGAATTTAAATTCCTTCATAGGAAAAGGAAGTCCAAAGTGTCATTATTTATACAGAGTGCAGAAATTGAAGTATACAGACATAAGGTGACAACTTTCAAAAAAAAAAGTAAATGTAAATGATGCTACAAATGCTATCTCAAATCCCTATACAATTAACTAATGTCTTCCTCTTTCCTTGATTTATATTGTCTTCCTGGTAACAAACATATGCATAAAGCATGCATATAAACCTTAGACTATGTTTTCCCCTTTGCCTGTGCTTGTCTTCCCTGACTTTATTAGTGTAGCTTTACATGATAAATCACCAGAACTACTTGAGACCTCCATGAAGTTCTGTAGAACCTAACTCAAAGTCACAGCATGATGAACGTTGAAGGTTGGGGAGGGAGGGGGACTCCAGGCTAGAGGTTTTTCCTTTTTACCTCTAGTCCTGGAGGGGATGGTGTGTGTCCCCCCCCCCCCCCTCAACACGAGGTCTCCATGGCCCCCCACAGAGACCATAGGAGAGCAGCAGCGAGAGGCAGAGGGAGTTTATTGTTCTGGGTAGCGACTTGAGTAGCTCTTGGGGAGATTACAAAGTGACCACTGGGAGTCCAGGAGGTCTTTCTAACCAGCCAATTACAAGAAAGGGTTAACAACCAAGAGGAAGACTTTCAGGTATCTCTCTCAGGACATTCCAAAGTAGAGATTAGACTGAGACTCCTGGGAAGAAGAAGGTGAATTTGCACAAAGAGTTACAAAAGCCATTTTGGAAACATGTTCACTTAATGTTAAAAACCTCTGTTTTCCCTAATACACTAACAAGCCTACTGCAACAACAGCATCTGAAAAGAGAAAAAGCAAGGAAGACAGAAAGAGGAAGAGAGGCAGGGAGACAGAGAAAAAGCAAGTAAAAAAAAAAAAAAAAGTCCTGAATTTGATGATGTTTTTTCTATTTCCAATTTCCCCACCTTGAACCAACCTCTAGTGTTCCTCTTTATTGCTACGGGCTATATTTAATGAAATCTTTGAATTTTTTACCTATTTAGGGATTCTAAGTACCTCAGTCCCTGAGAAAATAATTTGAAAAACCATTAAGGAAAATGCACTTTTAAAACACTACACTCATTGAATTTTTCCTGTTTATTGTTTACACTTTTTCTCATTAGAGTTAAGATCAGTTAGATAATTATATTTTTTAAGTTTCTAATGCAGTGGCAAGTCACTAGCATATTTATTCTGTATTTAAACTCTTCTAATCATGTTACATTGCATAGGTGCCTGAGAGGTACACAGAGCAAATTATCAGAATAACATATTTGTAATATATTCAACAGAAGTACTTGCAGTAAGATTATTTCCAGTATTATCATATTTAGTAACATAAGTGGTTTACTTTCTTGGCCAGTTGGGGATGATATCACTTAATTAACACAAGGATTTAAGGAACAGAAACTATTGAACAGGCATGTATACACAAATACATATCCATATTCTGAATTGTATATTTGCTTGTAAAAACTGCCATTTGGCATTTATAAATTGCACATCTCTCTGTAAGTCTTGTGGTGTTTGTCCTATTTAATTAGATGATTCCTATAACTAAATTGCTCATCCGGTATAGTTACTAAAATTACACTCACTTTTTTATATATATTATAAGGGCTAAAAAGTATATCCCCTCAACCAAATCACCTTGGTCCATAGCAGGGTGAAAATCACTAAGTGAATTCAAAACTTATGGAAAAGACTCCATCTTCTATATCCTTGCTCTCTTTCTTGGGAGGAAGCACTGTCATGTCAGGAAAGAAACAATATTCTGAAGAATTTGGAGTTGTATAAACTCCAATAAAAAGCACAGAGAAAACTCAAGGGTTTTTTTTTAATATAATGATGACAGAAAAAGATTCTTTCTGTCTTGATATTTACACTGAAGAAAGACTTAAAGCTTAGTGAGTATATAAATCTAAAATTGTCCTTCCAATACTTCTTGAAAGAAAACTAGCCTTTGATTTGTGGATTGATAGATCCAGTGAGGCCAATCATAAAAACTTCTCCCATGGGGAAAGAAGAAAGCTCATGTGGAATACTCCCACTGGGGAAGTTTGGTTACACTAAGGTTGTGGGTTTTTTTGGTAAGAAAATGTAAGATACTAGGAAAGACAGGCTAAAGAAAAATATTTTTTTTCTTAGTCATTCTTGATATACGTTTTTTCCACTAGTCTAATTTCAAAACTATTACAAAAGGGTTTTTTGTATTTTATAACAAGTTCTTATCCACAATCAAACCATTATTTGTTATTTTCATTAACTTTGAGGGGCAAAAAATAAAAAAGAAAAAAGCATTATTTACATAGGACCTACACCTACACCAAAGGACCTGTTCCATTATTTTTCTGCAGATGAATGAATTTTTCAGAAAAAAACATGTTTTCACTACACCCTTTCCATCCATTTAATTGTTTGGTTAAAAAAATCTTGAAATGTAGAAAAAGTGATGTACTTTGTGAGAGAAACTATCATTTTACATAGTAATGAAATCACCTATATTTAACCAGGTGATGATTTTTTTTTATTATTTTAATGGTTTAGAGCAGGATGACAGTAATCTGTGGGCTTACTTTACTCAGTGTTGCTATATGACTCTCTGACTAAACTTTCCATTTAGAAGGATTGGCACAGGGGTGTAGGAGGCTATGAATTGTGAACACTGTCCTACCAGCATTATTCTAGTTGTTTAAAAAAGCTTTTTTTCTCAAAATGGATACCTTCAATAGCCTGCTCTTAAATGGTCACAAAAGCAGCACACTCATGATCTATAGATTTTACTGCCCAGATAGGATTATTACAATTCTCTATTTATATGTCTCTCCCAGAATGCTGTCCATAAATTCTAACTCATTTGGAATGCAACTGCTTAGGTATTCACTCAGATTAAAAGAAAAAGACTCATATTTTTTTTCAACCTAGCTGCATTGCACTGGTTTCCTATTTGACAGCATATTGATTTTTATTTCTTATTAACTGTCTATTGTTGTTTATTAGGTAATGCTCCATCATACCCATCTTGGCTGATAAATGCTGGCTCTCCTACCTGTTCATTATGATTCACTTTAGGCTATCACATATGGCAATAGAATATTAGCATTATATGGATTAAAATGCTAAGATTATTGATGGAAATAAAAACTCCCAGTGGTACTAGTTTCAAAAAGCAGAGAACAGCCTGTGACCCATCCTGTGATTAGGCATTAAAACAGTCTATTCTAGGTAGTATTCTAGACCATACATTTCTTAAACGTTTAGTACTTTGTGGAGTCGTACTCTAATAAACACAGAAAACCTGGGGAAATATTGTTCTTGTCAAGCACTTCTATTTTCTTTTAGATTTTATCTGCTGAAGCTACTTGAGGTCTGTATTGTCCTTTTCTTTTTCCAGCACTACAACATGTAAGAGCAGAAATCACTGTGTGACAACTCAACCCTAAGAGCAGATGATTTTTCCTACATTGTTGCATGATTATGTTAATAGTTACAGCTGTAGTGCTATTAATCTGGCATTCTAATTATAATATGACCTGGTATTAACCTTTGATTTAAAAACCTGTTTGGCCAGTGATGTTTTATTGGATGTTTAATACAGTTTACAATGAAAGTATTAGGCATTTTGTTGGAAGGTGAAAGGAAAACATCTGATTAGATCTTTAGCCTTAAACTTACAGAAGAAACAGTAACACATAATAAAACACAATTTATTGTTGCATAGGTTCTACAGATAACTATGCTAGAATGCTTCTCAGTGTCATTAAAGATTTTTTTGACTTTCAAGCCAAGAAAAGATTTCTAGTCTCTTATTATATATTCTGGAACTGAATCAGAATTTATCAATGGAAATGTTGACTATGTTGCTGAAACTGGACAGTCTCTTACCTCTCAATATTTTTTGGGTAGCTCTCCTCACTGTTCAGATTTTTGATACTAAGGGAGTTCAAGCCTAGGTTTCAGAGAGAGTAATATCAGAAAAATAAATTTTGTAAGGCTATTTAATGTCTATCAACATCTTTCATGTAAAATTCTCAGAAGTTTAAGAAATATCTTCATTAATTAATCTTCATTATGCAAAAAGAACGCAAAAGGACTAGTGAGAGTAAAGATCCAAAGACAGTGTACAAAGCAATATAGCTTTTCTATATCACTCAAGGGTTTACTCTAGCTGAGGAGAAAGATTACAAAAATGTAGTGAATTTCTTATTAGATGATAAGAACAGAGACAGAAGATGAGTTTTATTCTTCTGTTATTCTGTTACTTTATTCTACATCTGTCTCACAGGCAGAAAACCAGCATTTTTCTGTTATTTTTCTGTATCTGATTTGCACTGGTTTTATACATACTCTTCTACACCCTGGGAGAGACAAAATTGGACTTGAAAAATAAGGAAAGACACTTTTAAAATCCAGAGAGTTGTAACATGGAAATGCCTGATGGCATTGTGTCTTAGGAAAAAGAAGTTGGAAAGTTGGAAGTGTAGGGCCCTGCACCTAGAGAAGAATTAAACCCAGGACCCAAGGGTTGACCTGCTGGAAAGCAGGTGTTGGAGAAGCACCTGGGAGTCCTGGTGGACAACAAACTGTCCATGAGCTGCCAGTGTGGCCTTGTGCCAACAAGGTAAATGAATTCTTTGGCTGCATTAGGAAGAGTGTGGCCGGCAGCTTGAGGAGGTTATCAGTCCTCTCCTTCTACTGAGTACTGGTGAGGCCAAATCCAGAGTTATGTGTCCAGTTTTGGGCTCCCCATGTGAAGAAAAAAAAAAAACCAACTTGTGGAGAGGGTCCAGTGAAGGGCCACGAAGATGACGAGAGGACTGGAGCACCTGTTGTATGAGGAAAGGCTGAGAGAGTTGGGCCTGTTCAGTTTTAAGAAGGGATGACTGAGAGGGGACTTCATCAGTGTCTATAAGTATCTGAAGAGAGGGTCTCAAGAGGATGGAACCAGACTCTCCTCAGTGGTACCCAGCAACAGGACAAGGGACACTGAATATGAGGAAAAATGTCTTTACATTGAGGGTGACAGAATGCTGTAACAGAGTGCCCGGAGAGGTTGTGGAGTCTCTTTATCTTCAGGTATTCAAAACCTTCCTGGGCACAATACTGTGCAACTTCTTCTAGATGAACTTACCTTAGCAGGGGGATTGGACCAGATGATCTTTCATCTGGTAGAGGTCTCTTTCAACCCTCACCATTTAGTGATTCTGTGAAATGCAGAAATGACAACACTGAAGCTAGGTGATACCAGATAGCACACTTTGAAACTTAGAAAGATTCCTCATCAAAACTCAATGATCTCTCTCTAGGAATTAAGCACTATCCTTTGTGGAAATTAAGACAAAGAACTATGTAAGAAAAAAAAAAAAAAAGCAAATAGGAACATTTCAAAGTAGCGTTGGTTATAATATCTCAGCACATCATTCAATAAATTGCAGATATACCAATACATAATATACTTTCTAACTTAGTTATACAACACAACTCCTTATGTCTTTACTGCCTCATTCTCTCATCTGCTTGCTGTATCCATTTTCCCTTTTTTCTTCACAGAGACTTCACCAGATTCAACTACTTGCAATACCTGAAACAAAATGATTCTATCAAATCAGAAGCAGGCTACTGGGAGTTTTTTAAATGTAGAAGCTCTTTCTCTTTGATATAAGAAAATCTTACTGGCATTTCAAAGACTAACAAGTCAGAAAACAGAATGGAGAAATCTGCAGCCTCTCTGCCTTTGAAGTACGTGTTAGACCATTTTTAAGTAATGAGAAACTGAAGTTCAGGGAGAAAGTGTTTCTAACAGTATGCACATTCTATTAGATTTTTAAGACTCTTCTGAACTACTTTTCTGAATTTTTTGAGGTTTGCCATCTCTACTAATTATATTCATTTCTTACGCTTATGAAGATAATTTTTCAGTTGTAAATTATTTTATATGAAATATTAATTTTAGTTTCCTTGGAAGTTAAGAGAAGATTAATATTGTGAGCTAAGGATGGACATAGGTCTGGTAGTAAGACAGTAAAAGGATTTCTTTGGTTCAGGTAAAAGTGCCATACAACCTTCATTGACAAAGAAGAAATTTTAAGCAAGTCTAGAGGGTAATTAAAAAGAAAGAAACTATTTCACTAATTCAGACCCTTCTTCTACTTACAAAAGACCCATGGGTAGCTCTTGATTTACAAAACTGTATTGATTCAGTGAATCCATTCTGGAAGTAACTTTCAAAATGGGTTTGTTCCTACATTTAAAAAGCATGTGAATTAAAAGTAGATTACTGCATAGTAAGACAAGTCATGTGATACTGCTTTTTACTTTCTGACGAAATCCAAAAATTCCCCTTGAAATCCTTTCTGCACCTCACAAACACGAGTACAGTTAAAATGCATCAGTGGAATAATTTTTGATAACAAACATGATAGGTGAAAAATTGTTTTCTGAATAAAAACACTTAAACATTCAACTCAGTATTTAGAGATAATATTTTCCATTATTCATCCAGTCCAAGTTGTTATTTTTGACCCTCCCTTTGAAAAATTATTTACTGAAGCATCATTCCCATTCATAGGAATGGGAGCCACTAAGCTGTTGTCCTTTACCAAAGTGGCTTTGGTGGGGGCTTGCATGTGGGATATTCCTCTCCATTTTTATGACCTGATTAGAGGGAAGCATATTTGGCTTTTTGATATCTGTCTATATTTCATTCCTACCTTATTGGTTGGCTTTTGGTTCAAGGACCTTATGTCCTCTGCTTATGACTCTTTCTGGCAAATAGCTGCCTTGATGTCTTAGAATTATTGCCTAGAACTTAGGAACTGCTGTAATGGATTAAACCAGTCATTCATCTAGGCAGGTCAGATCTGTTGGTCTCATATTAATATTGTTGAAAGAAGTAGGTGTTCAGAATTCAAGCAGTCTGTCATGACTGATGTTTTGCATAATAAAAAAAAATTCAAAATAAAGAGCTTAAAACTATTGCCTTTCAGCCTCAAGGATAACCATTCACAACATTTTTCTCAAATTAACCCTATAATGCAGTTAGGCTCTATGGAATGTGCATTCAATTTTTTTGAGGGCTGCTTCTTTACTATTTTTTCTAGTAATGAAGTTCAAGGCACAAATGCCATCACATCTTCAAAGAACACCAGAGCATCCAGAGATGGATAAAGACTTTATCCACTTGTTTATCCAAGAGGATAAACACTTTAATTGTTACATTAAACAAAAGAATAGGAGAAGAGAATGGTAAAATTACAGGAAAGCAAACTTGGAACATTCTGTTTCCTGCAAATTTGAGAAAATAGTTTTGCTTCCTTTTTATTTTTTTAATTTTTCCTTTAGTGTTTTTTTTCTTTTTTTTTTTTTTTTTTTTTACTTTAAAAGATGTGGGATCGTACCTATCTAAATTAACAGCTGTTTGGCATCACAACAAATAAAAGTCTAGGAAAAAAAGACACCACTAAATGTGTCGTCACACTGTATTGAGACACTCTGCAGTCATGACTTGATTTATGGCCAAAACCTTATCACTGGAAACAGTCCAATGTAACAGCATACAGCATATTCAGAATATTTTTTTTCTGGATGCCAAACTAACTGCTGAATACCAAAAAACATTTATCAGTAATTAACAGATGATGCTTCTAGTTAAATTTGCTGCAGTGTTTGTTGTGCATTTTATTCTTGTATTATCAGTGGATATTGGATTACAGGCCTTCACCCAGTGCACCTCTGCTCTTTGATGAATGATGTAATTTTTTTAGGAACTTCTTTTTAAAGTTGCGGTGGTTTATCATCCTTTTTGGAGGAAAAAGGTTCACTGGAAGCAGAGATACTTCAAGGGTTATATTTCGCAGCTGAGAAATGCAAGCTACACCCTGACACTGTCAGTCTCTCCATATCACTCTCTTGCACACACCAGATCCATCTACATTCAGAACATGACAAACAAGCCATGGATATGATTCCAACAAGGAAAAGATTGTATTCTAAAAAGGTACTATCATATTCCCACTGAAGCAGTGAAAAGATTCCCATTGGTATCAATAGGAATTGAGCTGGATCCCTAGAAACGACTTCTTCCCTTCATGCAAACTCAGCAAACAGTGAAGAGCGGTCTCTGCAATTTGCATGCAGAAGAAGAAAAAATTTGACCATATATTTGGAGACATAATAGATACCTGATACAGGTTTCAATTCTAAACGTCTCTGAGTTTTTTTCATTTGCTGTGATATATTTTACAAAAGGCAAGGTAATTTTGTTCATTATTTTTATTCTGGGTTTTCTAACAAAGTTTTCAGACTTTTCTAGAGACTTTCTTCTCCTACTGTCTTTTGTGAGAGCTAGAAGGCCTTCAGGGAATCTTGGGAAAAAATAGACCACATGAGAAGACCTTCTAAAGTTGTTTGCCCTTCCTCTTGGAGCAGTATAAGAGTAAATGTCTGTCCATTCCTTCATGTTGTTCAGTCTCCTTCTCACTTCTTCCCCTCATCCCACTCCACCATATTTCTATATTTTCTTACATCTATTCCTGAAGAGATTATTTTATATACTACTTCCCACCTACTTGCAGAAAATATCAGCAAAAGACTAGGTCCTTGCTAGTTTCTATGTCCTAACCAATAATTTCAGCAAAATATGTCCTGAGGCTTGACTCTTCCACAAGGCATACAACTTTTTTTTTTTATAAATTCAGAACAACTTCCAGCAAGCAAAAGTACATACCTTGTGAGATATATTAGTCTTACAGAGCCTTGTCTGTGGAACACCTACAACAATTTGTCAAGCTATTTATCTGGGTGAAATCAACCCACACAGCATTTCATACTGACTGATATAATTGCCTGACCTTGAAAGTTAGAATCTACTTTTTTATTTACAAATTTATTGTATATAAAATATAGATTAAACAAAGAGCATGTAATACAAAACATAAAGGAGGAAACAAGAAACAAACTGTTGAAAAAATAGCAAAATTGGGATATTAAATAAAAAAAAGATTTTGAAGGAGAAATTAAATAATTCAGGTCTGACAGATAAATAGAAAGATAAATGTGTCATATAAATCAACATAGAATGTACAAACATGGAGTTCAAAATATACAAAGAGAGGCTCAGAAGCTAAAAAAAAAGCATCAAGAACCATTTACACTGTAGCCAATTTTATTACATGGAAACACAATGTAATCAGTGATGTAAATGTTGGAAAAATTGAATATACAACAGATTGCAATGAAAATGCAGCTGCAAAAAAAGTGCATTTTGAAAAGATTCTAAACCTTTCACAAACAAAAGAAATAAATGCAGGAGGGAAGCATGATATGAAACCAAGATAATGGATTGGTTCTCAGGTACCATTTTTACCGAGGCCCTGTGGAGTACCTCTACTCTTTGGTTGTACTTAGGATAGGAGAACACATCCATCATTCACTCCATCACCTGTTCTCTAAGACCTGTGAATAACTGTGATCGAAACAAATTATGATGGCATGGAGTTTACTGCCTCTTTGAATTTCACAAATAGATGATAGGTTGTCAAACATAACCCCAGAAATATAGATATGGTTAATGTAACCGTCGACTGATGGTCACAGGTACAAGGACATGAATGCTCTAGGCTTGATGGTGCCACAAAAACACCAAGATTACAGATTTTATTTTTCAAATACATCTGGTGGTGTAAACAAGTGCATCATTTTACTCTTGATCCCAGCCGTGTAGTCCATTTTTAGAGGACAGTTGTTAATAACATACAAATCTTTACTCCTTACTCAGTTCTCTCGACCAGTATTTAAAGATGGGAGGAATGCAATAATCCACAAACATTAAATATGCAAATTAGCCCAGGTTTTCTTCATTAAATTGGGAAATTAGGAACAGAGCTATTTAGATTCATTTACAGATATAACATCAAAAATATTTCTTCCTTTGATGGTAGCAACAGTACACAACTTAAAGCCTTGATTAGAGATCATCTTATTAAATACAGTACAGACAACATGAAATATCTCTTCCAAGGACCTGATGCTTTATAAACTAAAAAACAGATACCTGAGAAAGAAAAAAAAATATTTCCACTAAAACAGGTGTGACCTGCAGGTTCTTCAACAATTTTCTTAAATTACAATTAACTCCCTTTCATTAATATGTGGGTACAGCAACAAAGTATAAGCTAGTTCTCTGAGCAATTATTTTAAACATTTTTCTACTAAAACACGAGTCAATTTTTCAATGCATTCTGTACAGTTCACATAGTAGACTGATACCGCCTGTGAATATTGCAGTAGCAACATCTGCAGGGTGGGTATTCCTTGCTGATATCTTCCCCAGGTTGACAGATGCTTATTATTTCAAATCCATCATAATAGTTATTAACATTTCAGAAGAGCTGTGACTTAGTTATATGATAACTTGAAGGAAAAATAGAGGTATTATCCCTCTACAGTGTCACACATGAGTAGTGTTCGAGGGAAGTAATCCCCTAGTGAGCTAAGAAAAGGCAACTCTTTTTTTCTGAAAAAACACTTTATTTTCTCATAAATAATAGAGATAGATAGAACTCATTCATCTATGTGTACATATACCTTCTTAGAGTGATCATTCGGTTATGTGTTATTAGGTTGTATAAGAGGATTTTTAATTTTTTTAGTAGACTTCGAATGACAATGCTTGTGCTTATGTTTTTTTTTGCTTATTTGATTTAATGCATTGGAAACAGACTAGAATATAATCTGACTAGAATATAACATCCATACATATACATTGTACATTGCAGAATATGTGAATGCTCATTTTTTCCCATACTGACATTTGCCATATCAAATAAGATCCCAATTCAGCCTTAAATAAATAAATCTGTTATAAAAATTAGTTTTGAGAACTCCTCCGTTAATAATGACACTAATTGTATTTATTTACATTTAACAGTGAACGTTTTACAGCCACATATCTATACAAATGCATAATTTCAATTTTTCTAAACATTCTGACCAAAATTTGAAAGGCAATACAAGTTTAATAATTGGTTTTCCTCACCATGTCACTAGCAATATGACTTCAATGGAGGAAGTGAAAAAAGGAAGAGGTATGGAATCATGTCTACGAAAAGAAAGGAATGAAAGCAAGCCATAATTTGTAAACTGATTCTTATAATAAAATATCCTCTCACAACAAACATACCAGAATCAGCTTGAATTTTTTTTTTTGGTAGTTCTCCATAAGGCCAATGTTCACTATGAACAGTGAGCACTGCACTGCACTTCCACAAAACCATTATTTTCTGCAGAAGCTTAGAAGGAATAAGAAACTTCAAATTGCACAGAACACTGTTTATCTAACAAAGTTCTGGGGTATGAAGTTTGGGGGGGTTCTAATTTTAAAAGATTCTTATTTTTTTTAATGGCTGGATAATACATGTATGATATCTTTTCAGAGGCTTGTGCTCTCAAGTTAACCATCACAACAGTGTAGCTTATACTGACTTTTCACAAAAGACTTCAAATATGATTGCTCCGTGTACTGCACCGACAGAAAATGAGTGCAGAATGAAACTGGAATTTTAGTCATCAAAATCAGTCATTCATAGATCAGACTTAAATAAAAGTCAGACTACAGATGCTATTCCTTTTCAATATGCTTAGAAATAAATTAAAAAAATCAGATCATTTTGACAGACCAGAATTCTTTGTGACAGTAAACAAGACACTGATATATATGAGTTCCTTGAAAGACCTTGAACAACCTCTTGTGAAAGTACACCTACTCTGACAATCAATAAAGTTAAACTAGCAAATCCACCTGTTTGTCACACCTAAATTATGTCATACCTATACTGAATTTTCTACTGAACGTCCTGTATTTTCATCCATTTATGGGATATATTTACAGTTGAAAAATACCGCTGTGCCTACAGCTACACTAGTTTCAGCACTGGGGAAAAAGCCATTGACAGGACAAGTTCTTTGCATAATAATTCTTAAATATCCATGTGTATAAATCTCATCATTAACTCAGAATTAATTCACTTTTTTTTTTAACTAATCAATACATTTTACTGAAATTTTAAAAGCTTAAGTTAAATCTGATACTCTACCTGAAGTATCATTTTAAAAATCTTGATGGACAAATGAAACATAGTTGCTCTTATCAATAAAATATTAAACTGCAAGGCTTTGATTCAAAAGAAGCAAAATAGCTTGTGCTGACAAAGAACTGGAAATACATCTTCATTTAGTTTGGTCACATGGT